GAAATGTGTTACATTGTCGAAATTTATTGTTGTGTAACTGCTTTTTTAATGCATATTTTTTTGAACGTATAAATCTGTATGAAATATTTGCTTTTGAATATGACTTTATACTCAACCCACAATGCAGATTACAAAAAATCGTATCTACCATATTAAACAGATTATAATTTGTATACCTAATACTACATAAGGTAAAAACTTAATTTTGAACAAAATGATAAATTGGTTTCATTTCATAGTTGTATTATTGATTATTATCAAAATATGAAACCGTACAAATTTGGTTACTTTTAAAATAAATACTTATAAACTATAATAATATGCATAATTTATCAACGATGATTAATCAATATTTTATATCAACCGCGATTACGAGATTTTTGACTGCTTCCTAAAATTACAATTCAGCATGATCGTTTCTATACTGAATATTAAGTAAAAAAATAGTTTTTATAATTTAGCGTTAAATAATTTAGTTATTTTGAACATTTATAAAAAAGACGAAAATAAAAGCTATATGCATTCATAAAAAAAATATTAAATGTAAAAAAAAAAATAACAATTTATACAAATAATGAAATATTTTATGAATTGGTTTTCATTTTTCTTTTACTATTCAAATTATTACTGAATAATATTAATAATGACAAAAAAAATATCAGACTCTTAAAATTTATACCAATAATTAATAAATACAATTAAGTATTAAAAATCATCTGGAAAAAATACAAATATAATATAATCTAATTATATCAGTATAACTACGAATGATATTTGATTTTTTATTAACTTATTATTAATATTGATAAAATAATATGTAAGTATATAGTTTTACTAGTAGCTCATTATAAGTTCTGACGATATACTACACATGTTTGCATGATACAAAAATAAATATTATAATTCCATATAAAATCTGATTCAACAAAAAAGTAGTTCGTAATCATAATATTTTAATTACAATCGTTTTTAGTGTAGTTTTTTAAAATATTTAAAATACATATTGAATACAAGTGCCTTTATTTATTTTTAGAGAGTTTATCATCAAAAAATTTTTTTGTGTAAACACAACAATCAAAATTTAAAAATAAGGAATTATTATTATATTAATGATCAATTATTATACTATGCATGCATATAATAAATATATTATACACATACTTACAAGCATATTATAATATATACTATATTATTTATTTTTGAAAAAATAAAAAACCAATAAAAGTGTGTTTATATAAATACAAAAATCAATCAAATTTAAAAAACTGCTAAAATGAGGATTAATTATTATTGGCTATTCATTCGTTTAATTTTTTTTCTCGGTGGTATTTAAAATAAGTAAGTTTAATGATTGAATATTTTCATAGGAAGAAATAAATAAGTCTAAAACAAACTCATATTATAGTTGTTTTCATCACGTTTTTAGATTTTTTTGGACAAATACAAAATTAAGAAGTGTTTACCTTGAGAATTTTAACACATGTATGTACAGATAATTCAACTCTTAAAAAATGATAAATACCAGAGTACTATATTAAAGTTACAAAACCACTTAGCTGCAACACTCGTGTTGATAATATTTATTAAAACTATTTAAAGAGGCTCTGAAGATTTATATTTTTTCTTACTAAAACCATGTTATTATGACCTTAAAATAACGGATATCTAGATACTCTTATATATATATATATATATTGTTTTATATTCGGTATTATAGTTAATAGACAATATTAAATATATTATATATGTATTTGTTTTTAATTTTTACTAATGGCTTGACAATGATTAAAAAAATTTAAAACCATTTGTTTTTTATTTCCATTATATTATAATTGTAAAACTATTACAGATCCAGTTAATAATTGAACATTTAAAAATAAAATAATAGTCAATGAAACAATAATGTCGAGTATAAAATGCAGTAAGCGTAAATCTCAATTAAAATGTTAACATTGGGCAACAAACAAAAACAGATGATTCATAAAATGTCAATATACTTAGATTTCTTAAACTTTGATTTTTAATATTAAAATTATAAATATATATTATTTATTAAAATATGAAATATTAAATTTATGTTATTATTTTTGATTTCTAAAAACTGATAACCGATTTGTAATATAAAAACATTCCAAGCTCGTCAAATTTAATACTTCAAAATTAGGGTACTTAAAACAAAAACATTTATTATTTAATATTTATTTTCTAATCTTAAAATTGTTTTGATTATTATTTTAACCGTGTTTACTATCGGAATTTAAAAAAAATCCCAAATACCAATTAATCTTTACTATAAAATACTGTAATAAAAAACGTATTATTAAAAAAATAAATACGTACCTCACTATGCATGTTACTCCAATGTAGAGCAATGGGAAATCATAAATAAAACAATAAATTCTACTATAGAAACACTAAATGGTAAAAACTAAAAGTATTATTTTTTGTATATGATGGTGTGCAATGTACATATGTTTAAAATGTTGTTTAAGAATATAATAACTATTTAATCGCAAATATTGTGAAAGTGACTACTATTGATAGTACCTATTTGTTGTATGTTGACTTCGAGTATATTTCGTCATTAAATAACTCACTGTAATAAATGGCGTGTTAAGTTTTAATTTAATGCTAATAAAATTATTGCAGACAGAAAAACGATTCTAAGCGGAGATAGTATATGCACGAGTATTCCTCTATTTCTAAGGATATTTTATAATTATTCATCTTGGTATATTATACTATTAGTAATACGTGGTATGTTCGACTAATGTTCGCCTAAAACATCACAAATATAATATTATAAAATATATTATTTTTATTAACTTAAGTCTTAAAGTGAAAACTGACATACGGTAAATTGGAATTTTTTTCACGATTATTTTGAAAATACAGGAACTTTTTACTTTTAAAATGTTATCCAATTATGCTATACGCTATTTAAAAGCTAAATTCGAGTAAGTTATAACTAATTAGCTATATGTTAAAGATTTGATGTTTAAAGGTATATACAAATTTAGGAGAAGTAATTTTTTCCGGAACATTGAATAAAAAATATAATGTCATTAAAAGTAATGAGTATAAAAAATTATAACGACAAAAAAAGATAAAATGTATTCTAACTTTTTTTCATTATGATTCTAGAGAATGTTGAAAATATTAATTTTCAAAAACATTAATACTATTTAACATGTTGAGTGTATGCTGTTAAAAAAAATCGCTCTATGTAGTCTATACTTTGACCTAAATGTTTTTAACAATGTGTAACGTTTCGAATTCAGAAGTATCAAGTTTTTATTTTTTTGAATGCAAGAATATATAAATAAAATACTTCACTTATTTTTTATATTTGAAAGAAAATGGACCGTGAAGGGTAACGAAAGTGTAGTTTTAGTTGAAAAATGGTTTTGACACTTGGATAGAAACTTTTAAGTTTTCTGTTAAAATATTTTATCGTTGAACATTCTCCCTAAATATAATTAAATGTTTTTAATTATGCACTAATAAAAAATAAAATAAAATTTTCAATACTTAATACGCATATACTCAGTAAATGATAATATATTTTTAATATTAAAATTATCTTTATTCTTATACCGTACAAATACAATTTAGTTGTATATGTACTATGCTTAATTTGGTATGAATAAATATGTGCGATTTTTAAAATAAAACATGTTATAAGTACGTAGTGTTAAATTCAATATAATATAATTTAGTTTTGTAAAAATACGATTCAGAAAAGATAGTTAAGTGGGCACAACTATACTGTACATTAGTTTCAAATGAATCACTATTATGGGTGTGTTAAATTTGAATTCAATGATATATCGCTGTATACGAAAAAACGATTCTGCACGGAGACGGTTTGTCACTAAGTCCGCCTATCTATAAGTATGTTTCATGATGTGTTTTTTTTTTTTTATAGTCATTTATCTTACTTAAAGTTTTACAGTAGGTTGAGTAGGTTGATATAATTTTAACTCAAATTGTAATGACATCTTTCTGTAAATACTGTAAAAAATTTAAAATAAATTCATAATATAAATGCATATAATATCTTAAAAGAAGCCAAAAATATCATTGTGTATATTAAAATTCATAATAATTTTAAAGCATTAAAATCCCACGAATGATGTATTTAAATCATAAAAAAATAATTAACATCATTATTTATTGTTTAAATAATTGATTTCGTCCAAATTTGAACTTAAAATATCTATAAAAATAATGGTTTTTTTTAATATTATATTGTGTTAGATTTTATGGTTTCAATATGAACTACTTATCTTGTTATACTAAATTTTCAAAACTTAGATACAAAAATAGAAGTATTACGTAATATTATGTGACATTATATATAATTAATAACTAACATTATGCAGCGTTGCGACACCAGCTGGTGGATCGGGAATAGTCAGGATTACACAAAATGATTTACCAAGAAGTGAAGTCTTTTAGACCTCTAATGTAGGTATACTTAAAAATTCCGAAAATCAAAATTTTAATAAATGCATTAATAACAAAAATGTAGGTAGTATAATACGACTATACAATATTTTAATTTATTGTTCAGCATCGTGACCATCAGTACAATTTTACACTGCAATGAAATTAATGTAATAAAAATAAGACGTACTATATTATTATACATAATGCAGAGTTTGTAAAAATCAAATTGTACAGCAGTTGCAAATTTTGAATACCACCCATAACACTATAGTAATGATATTGATAATTATACGTTTAACAATAATAAGTTATAAAAAAATATAAAAATACAAACGACTAAAATTAAATTTTTATAATCAAACCGAGAAAAGTGTGACTACGGTATAAAAATTGGTAAAATAATTATTGAAAAAATAAAAATAAGTATTATAGATTACGGAAGTCGAAATAATAATATAAATATATCTATGCATAGGGAAAGATAAAAAAGTGACGATAAAATTATAATTTATTTAATGGTATAACCATGTAAGTATACAAAAAAGTGGCTACAAGCTTAGTAGGTATTTAATCTTAAACCAAGTGTAATAGTTAACAAAATTTAACCTCTTATAGTTGCTTATTAATTGACTCGAAAATATTCTATAAAAATATATGGTAAATTAATGTTATCACGCCCATCACGTGACATAATTCAAACAAAACGCATGTCTAATTGGCAATCATTTTATTATGCGAGCCGCATCCAACGATAGTTCAGACATCGCCGAATGGCTATTTAAAGAGCTCCGATTGTGTATGAGTCTGTAATTGTTGCTGTTTAAACTTCCATCTTCCGTGAAATGAACTGAAGTAACCGCGGAAGTCGCATTCGTTGTGTAAACGTGCGGCGGACAATTATTATTGGTTTTTTGTTGAACGTTACCGGACGGCCAAAAGTTCCATATTCTCAATGATTCGTCGGAACTCGTCAAAGCTATAAATCAAAACGAAAATGTTAACGATTTTAAATAAATATATATATATATTATATATTCAACGATTTGACAACGTATAACCCTATATTGTATTGTATGTGTATATATCATTAAAACTTAACACGTTCTCAGCGATCGATGACTATGTTATGTGATCGTGGTGTAGGTATTCATCTATATTATTTGATTATTACATCAGTGTCAAAATAAAAATATATATACGTATATAATTAATAGTATATAATGCTCTAATTCGCTCTGTTAAATTTGTGCATATCATAATACAACAAAAAAGTTCTATAACCTTGAAATCTGTTATCGATTACAAACAAAAATGTATTTATAGTAAAATAATTGATCAAAGTCAACTATACGCGAATATTTTTTAAGGTTTAGAGGTGGGTAGGCACTCAATTTAATAGAGAAAAACAATTACTTAATATTAGTACTCGTAAATTGAAATCACTTAAATTGTTAACCTATTAAAAAAAGTCATTGAATAAGGATTTAATAGTATAATTTTTTTTCTTGTGGTTGGGTATATTTTAAGTTGCTTACAGATTACTTTAGATTTGTTTCACTACTGTATAGCTGAAGATTTTTAATTTTATTTAACATGAGGCCTGTGAACGCCATTACGTAGTGTGAAAACATAATATATCTTATACCTATACGTTTTCCGTCTGGACTCCACGCGAAAAACAGTCCTCGATCCGTATGGCTACTGCTTAATGTCTCAACGATTCGGTCCAGGGCGTGCATCACTACTACACTGTGTTTTTCTACTAAAATTGGACTGGAATATGCATTATCTCCTGTTTATAAACCAATCAGAACCATGGTATAAATTATTAAATATATCAAATAAATGTATATATATATTGAATCAAAACGTAAAATATGAGTACGTATGTATACAGAAATTACAGACTAGGAGTCTATTACGTATAATATCACATAGTTTGAAAAAAGTTTTATCAGTAAATATAAAATAGGTAATGGATATTATTCACCTGACTACCTGGAAAATTCATATCCTAAGTAATCTTTTTCTAAAAATTTAAAATTAATTGTGCTTTGAAAAATATCTTACTTCTAATACGACATACAATATATTGTATCTAAAATAAAGATTTTAGAAAGTATCTAGATACAAACATCTATTAAGAATACAAGAAGTACCTAGATATTAAAAATACGCGTATAAATATTATCATTAATACTACTGTTTCTCGGTTCTTTTTCATAAGAGCACGTTTTTTTTATTACGATTTTGTAACGATTGCACAATAACTATCAAGTATCAACGGTAAGTACTGTCGTGTGGCTATGCACTGTTGAGTTATTTGTAAATTATTTTGAACTAGTATAATTATTAAAAGTATCTAATAATATACCTAATAATGCCCAATAATTATTTAAACAAAAAATAAAATTTATATTATTCTTAAAATCTTCTGAAAATTGCCTGTCTATCAAACATCTTAAAAAGATTAAATTTGGGACTGAAAAAAAGTAAAAACTCGGTAACTTAACTTAGCGTAACACGCGCAATGTGCATATTGTGCACGAGGGCGACACGACGCGTGTTTGAATTATATTATATTACACAAAATACTAAATATTATTATCGATGTACTTACTGACACTGTACACGGTCGTGGCCGACACCAGAAGTTCGCCAGTCAGTCGGCTGAATGTCATCGAGTGCGTGTTGACGTGCAATATGTTCATCGTCGGACAGCAGTTGCTTGCGGTCTGTTCGATGCGCTTCAACACTTGTCCCTTGCACGCGTTCGCCAACACAAACCACGACGGGGACTTGCGGTTGACGTACATCTGCATCCCGTCCTGTGGGGTCGATGTAACAGCGTAACACATCAGAGCGTATTTCCACGGGTGCCAAGCGAAGGCCTATTTCATTTGAACATGATACAATATAATAACGATAAACACCCATGTTATAATGTTGCGGTATTATATATTATATAAATAGTAATAATCGATTATCGGCCATATGGCCGTGTGGGTAACAGGACGTAATATTAAGGCGCGAGCATTGCAGGGAAGATCCTCGCAATCATCTTATAGTTAAGAAGATATCTCAGTGCAGTATTATTATTCTCTCTCTTTGACGCTCGGTACAGATAAAACGCGTTCGCGCAAAATCGTCTTTATAGTTTTTCAATGACCTCAAAGTAAAATTCTCTATCATTTCAATTATAGAGAATAATATGTTTAAATGCTTGACACATCGGAAGGATCAGTGAAAGAAACTTAACTTGGGTACGTTGTTAAATACACAAAAAAAGTTATTTTTTGATATATCTACAAAGTCTTTAAAATAATTATTTATTAGTAAATAAAAAAATAATTTTGAATGTCATGATTCCACGCCATTACGACAAGTAATATCATATCGTCCTCATAGTGGTAGTCTCTTCAAACGTAAATTGATATTATCTGTTACCATTTAAACTAACTCGTTTTACTTTCATTGTGTGCGCCCTGATTAAAAAATTATGGAGAAATTGGCGATTTATATAATATAGAGTACATATTATAATTGTACAATATAAATTTCATATATTACCGCTATGTATTATTTAGATATCGATTAAGTCCTTTTATGGGTGTGTTAAACACTTAAACTTAAATTCATTAATGCATCATTACATACGAAAAATAATTCTGATTGGATACGATATGTCAGCCTATACCACCAAGTATATTTCGTGATATGTATTTTTATATAGATATTAAAGTAATTTATTTTATTTTTAGTATTACGGTAGGTCGATGTATATTTTTCGAAAATATACATTTTCATATTACCTATATCATTAGTATTTAATAATTATAATTATAAGCAAAACTACGGGTCAAGCAAATTAGACCATGATTTGACCTAATGCCGACAGGTTATCAGAAATGATATAGATGAAATACACAATAATACGTATATTATAAAAAATATTGTGTTTAAAAAAAAAAAACTAAAATAACGTTTTTGTGGTTATTTTCCCGAATGTTATGATGGAATGGAAACAATAAATATATATTTTTATCATTTTTATTTATATTAATAATACATAATATAGGATGCATAATATTAGCTCCTTCTACCTGATGTAATTATTAGTTAACTATAAAGAAAAGTTTTTAAAATATTTTATTAAAAATCCAACAAATAAAAATTATTTTTCGGTATTTTAATTTCTATTAAATGTATTTAAATACAATTTACTATATTCAATCGTGGAAGAATTTTTACAATATATTTTCGTCAAATATACACATATTTATATAAATACCTAAGTAATGGGCATAGCGGTGGTAGCTGATGTCTATAAACCATATTTTCATTAGGGGTATCACGGTGTACTAAATATACAAATTTTAGTAGTTAATATTTTTTTGACGAAAGAGGGAGAAATTTTAAAATAATAGGGCCTAACCTTATGTAAATGTTTAGTTTTGCTCATAATTATAATAATATGTTTTTATACTATATTACATTAATTTATTAAACTCAAAATGTAATAACATCTTTCTATAAGTACCATAAAGCAATAAAAAAAAAAACATCGTATAAATAGATAATATCTTAAAAAAAACCAAAAATATCATTGCGTATAGTAAAGTTCATAATAATATAATATAGGTACGTAAAAGTCTTAAGTTTCCACGAGACACGAATAATGTTTTTAAACTATAAAAAAAATAATTAACATCGTTATTCATTGTTTAAATAAGTAATTTTGACCAAATCTGAACTTAAAATGTCTATAGAAAATAATTACATTTATATGTTTCTAAATTAAATGGCTTTAGTATTAAATACTTATAAAGAATTATCTATTCAATTTTCAAAATTTAGATATAAAAATAAAAGTTCTAATAGATTTTTAATTACAAAATAGTTTGAAATTGTTTGCAATTTTGATGAATTTCGTGAAAATTCTAACTTTAAATTCATATAAAAAAATTGGGTCTTTATATTTGTAATGTTTTTATACAGGCATAAAAACAACTTATTTAAGATTTTGCATTACATTTTAAAGAATTTCGACAAAGTAAATAATTTTCTATTAATAGATATAAAAAAAAAAAATTGAAAAATAGAGTATACACTAATTGACTCCAATAATTAAGTAATTCATAATTTGTTATTAACAACTTGCCTCCCAAAAATGTTCACACTAATTATTTACCATTTAAAATTAAGTACTCAGTGGTTTAAAATCTTTACTAAAATTTAAAGGTATGTAGTTATGATTTTATATTTTATCCTAGTTGACATTGTGGTTTTATTTTAAGTCAAGAAAGAACTCTTTACTAAAATTACTGAGAATAATGTAATGGATCGTTAAACATAATTATTAAATATTTTAGAATTGAATAGTACGATTAAAAACATCAATCTTGAGTATATGTATATTATATTTTTTGATAAACGATGCATAACCATTTAAAATAATAATATAATTAGCTCATTAAAAAAAACATTTGATATCATAAGTAAAATTATAATTATACATATATTATTGTAATTTAATAAATATTATGTATAATAATATGATGTTTGAATGTTTATAAACCAATTACACATTAATTACTTGCTTATTTGAGGCAACTAAAAAATTACAAAATCAGAAATTTATGCGAGTAAATGCAAGAACTTGCATTTCTGATTATGTAATGTTTCAAAAATAGTACAAAATCGTCTACACCTTTTCGAATTAAATCCTAAATCATCCTAATCAGTTGTTATTTGAAAGTTGAGGAGCATATACAGTTAAACAATAACTTTATATTCCTATAAAAACGTCAGAAACGCGCAAAAAAATCAAGTTCCGAATTTATCGATTTCGATAGTATATTAAAATAAAGTACGTATACAACAAATCGCAGTAGTTATTCAATAATAATATTATAATTTAACCTTTATCAGCCAGTTAGAGTGATCATGCTGTTTACTGTTGTATCGGTCGGTCAAGGTCTGTGTCACGTTAATATTCGAATCGAAACAATGATCGCGGTGTGGGCTTAATTCCAGCGGGTCTTCGATACGCCAAACTTTCAATACACACGCCCAAGGCGAATAAGTGGCCACGGCCAAGTGACGACTCCATTTGTCCTGTGATACATGCAGACAGGTAATTAACGTATTTTGGTTCTTCTTGTGTATAATACGCGTAGTAATCAATTTCTTTTGTGCGAAATCGTACCTGAAAAATGTCACTGTGGCCCTCGTGCATCCTCTGAAATACATGTAACATTAAAATGAGATAATTGTTTTAGTAACTTAAGTCACAAAGTATCTCTAAACTACAAAGTCAGTGTACAGCGAATTAGAGTATTAAATAAGTACTTTAAAGAAAATTCAATTCTGTCTAGGTTATAATATATCAAAGTAGAGCTACATATTATGTTGTGCCGGCTATCGTAGTCATCAGATACAATTTTTGGTTTCTTCATAAAATTAACTTAAAAGTGAATTTTTTATTTTATTTTTAAATTGATATCTTAAGACCTTTGAAATAAGATTTAAAATTTTGAATATTAAAAATTAATATTCGAATCAAAAATATTCAAGAAATGCTTTTTGGAGTAAATTTTCTGTCGAACATAAATACATATTTTTAGAAATTGCATAGAATAAATAGGTTAGGTTTAGACTGATACTTTTGTAAAAAAAAAAAAATAACAACAAAATAGTATTAATATTAATACATTAGTGACATGTGCATACATGTTCGGGAATGCTTAGTTATTTCTTTTTCACACATTAAACATCATTTACTACGTACACATTTACACAATCGGCATGCACGCATTTAACAATTGCCTATTCCGAACTCCTTAAAAACAGTCTGTATCACATCCCCTTAAGACACTATTTTTTAGTGCGTGTGCGTATAATACGTTATAATTTAAAATAATTTATTATAAACGTTTCTTATAGAATTACGCGTGGTAATGTTATTTTTTTATAAGATGTCATAATGCAAGAAACGTGCATGTTTAATAAAATTAATTTATCATGTATAAATCATACGTACTTAAAAATTGTTGATAACGATAACTCATAATAATCTTAATACACTAGTACAGTACTACACTAATCTACAAACTGTATAACAATAATTATTAAATTAAATGATAAAAATATATTTTTTAAATTAATTTTATGATAAGAATATAAAAATATTAAATAATTATTTTTAAATGTTATATAAGATAAGTCATAGTTAAACATGTACATTTTGTTTTCACTAAAAATTTCCATAAAATAATATGAAAGAGTTATAGAAATATGGATAATTGGCTAACATTAGTGTAAAGCCTATACCTACAGGTAATGTTGTGTCTGCGCTATTCTACGAGTACATTATATCTCTATTTACTATTTTAAATCATATTATATATTTATCATAATTCATATAATAACTAACGTCACTAAAACACGACCGTTGGCCAACCAATCCATTACAATGATTTTGCATCCATTGAACCGTTGGCAATTGTCATCGGTTACACAACCACAATATGATGTTTTTTGTTCATGATTTGAATTGTCATTTGGTGCATTCAATAACCAAACCTGTGGACAAAATATGATAATGATAGTATGATAAATTTTAAATTTTATAATCAAAGGAAGTATATGTGTCAGTAATATTATATGAAACATGAGTATTCCCAAATATGATATCTAATTATAATAAAGAACAGAGAATTCGCTATGCATTACAGCAGATTTTGTTGACGTTCGAATAAAATGTTCTACTTCATTGTCTATTTTTAAATTAAATAACTAAAAATTTTATATAAAATTCGTTATTTTACAGTTGAACTTCAAACGGTTATATACAAAATTAAAACACAAAATTTGAATTTTTTTTTTTTAGAAATATTTTTAATTGCTTTAAGATCAACTTATATAACTAATTTCGTATTAAATTTAAATATTTAAATTTTTCTACCCAGTCACAAAAATAAATTTAAAAAGTAGAAATATTCAAATTTCTATGAATAGAACAAATAAAGTAAAATATTTTAAAAATTAAAGCATGTTTAAAATAAAAACAGCTACTTGTAAATAATAATTAATTAAAATTAAAAATGTATAGAATTATTTTTATTTGAATTGAAAATTTATTATAACGTTTTCTTTGTTTATTATTAAAGAAAGCCACAAAATCTAAAACCGATTAATAGTTATTTCGATGGAAATATTAATAATATAGTCATTAGTCATTACTCATTTCGACGACGGTCGCCGTTTCAGCGAAACTGCCGCCCAACAATTTCAATCGTAATGACATGTAATGATATGGACGGTTGGACGGAGAGAGACGAGGAGAATAAGCTGCGCGCATTTCGCTCGTTAATGAAACTGGGTCTACGACAATATTTTTTGTCGTGCCGCCGCGCCGTTATTAGACGCTGTTTGTCGCCATAATTAATTACATTCATTATTTAATAATTACTATGCCTTTATACTATCTGATATTTATTATTTTCGACATTTTATATTCGTAATTACTTCCAAAATTCAAAAAGACCAAATAATAGACTTTTGAAATTAAAATCATTATGTCATTAAACATTATAAATGTATATATATATATATAATGTACCTATATACAATTATTTAACTAATTAAATATTCAGTATAATTAATTTTTCAATAAAAGAATTTTTCTTGTTTGATGTTGTACAAAGTTATAGAATTTAAATATTCTTGGAATATTTATTCATGAGCTGCTACTGCTATTAATATTACAATTTACAATAAATTAATTTAACTTTTTGCAAAAAAAAAAAAAAAAATTGCATTTATTATAGTTAATTATAAAAATATTATAAATGCATTTTTTTATAATGTATTATTGTTATTAACGTATGAATAGATTGGTAGAATAAATAGGTAAAATTATAAAATGAATTTAAATATTTTGAAAATGTTATTGCATATATAAGATATAATTATATATACATAAGAGTCAACATGTTTTTGAATTTTAATGGAATAACTTGTTCAAATGTTGTTCTTTACTTAAATATCCAAATTTGAACTTTAAATGTCTAAAAAGAAAATATTGCTAATACATTTTAGATTTCTTGAAACATATTATGTCGATTGAAATATTTTAAAAATTATACCATGTATAGTAATTTTAACATTTGTTAAAAATTTCAAATATCTAATGTTAATTTTTTTTGAATTACAACAAAATAAGAACTATAATTTTCCGTGAAATTTTTTTTTTTATCTAGTTTTTTGTTTGCTTTTCTCAGTTATTAAGAAAAGGACTGAAAATTGTTTACTTTTTACCCCCAAAGGCCAAAAGTATTTTCCTACCAGAAAAATTATTAATTTTAAATATCTAAGTATTTTCAATGCTCCTGCAAAAATGATGATAGACACAAAAATATAAAATAGAATAAAAATAATAAAATATTATTATAAAATCAAAAAATCGCTCTACTCTAAATTTAAAACCAAATTGATTTTGTTAAAATCTCAGTTTCGTTAATATTTTCGTTTTCTTGCAGATTTTCGCAAATTTCTCATATTATTAAAAAAAGTACTAGGATTTTCTTAATTCTATTATTTTATCTAAATCAACGTTTCTGCCAGATAAACGTTTTGCTCCAAAACATGATATTATTTTGTAATTAAATAAAATTTTAAGACGATAGATGTTAAACCAGTTATAAAATTTCCTCTATGTAGTCGCTCTCAACACCGAGCTTGTGTAAGTTAGTTGTATGTATTAGAAAATTGAACAAAAATAATATTGTGGAAAATAAAATTATTTGTAGTTATAAAGATATTAAAACGTAGATTTGTATTGTATTTAAAAAGATAAAGAGTTTATGCAAGTTACGCGTTTGACTTCGGTGTCCCGAGAAAGTGTTTTGGGGCAGTGATTTGTCCCGGTTTTAAAATTTTACTCGATAAAATACCGATTTTCAAATATGAGAAAACATTATCGTTCTACTTCTTAATACATGATTATTCGCATGATAATCATAAGTAATTTATTCATATTAAAACCACTGCTGTGATAATATTATCTGCTTTAGAGTTTAATAGTTTACTGTTCAGTATTATTATATGCGTTAGTTCACGCTGTCTATTTTAGATTTCCATTCGTGTAAAATATTTATTTTGTTTTGATTAAAGTAATTGGTGTGTGCTATTTAACTCGTGACGACATATTTTACTTCATATTAACACCAATGCCACCAACTGAATGTAGTAAACGAAAACGATTATGTACAATTACAGAAAAATTGCAAAGTGGATTAACGTTTTGGAAAAAAGTTTAAAGATCAGCCAAATATTAGTAAAATCCACAGGAGAAATCCTGGTCTCCGAAAGTTCCGGAGACTGAGCAATGAATTATTATTTCATTTGTTTGATATTTTTTTTACTGACCTTAGTCGTAACATTTTATTGAAAACTCGTATAAACCATCATAATTTACAAATATTACGAATGCCTAATAGGTTTTTGTATAGTACCTATTACTCGACAATACTTGCATACACAATTAATTATATAAAAAAATATATATATATATATATAAAATGATCAAAAAAAGAGGTCCGTCAGCCTGGCACCCCGAATTCAAAATTTCGACCTCAAACCTTTTTAGATAATTAGTAACTAATTTGTAACAATTTGTAACGCAAAATTAAATTGTAACACAATGATTTACCCCGAAAAAGTGGGTAATTTTGGGTGTCTGGGCTGACGATCAGCCTACACGAATGAAATTGACTCAAACCTTTAGATATCAGTACTACTTGTAAATTTGTACACGCAAAATTGAATTTGTATCGGCAAAAATTACCAATCGTGATTATTTTAAAAGGGAGCTGAGTCACCTGGCACTCGATTCAAGACGCTCAAACCTTTTTAGATAATTGTAACTATCTATGCTACTTGTAACGCAAAATCGGAATTTGTACCTTAAATGGTACCCTAAATGGCGTGAACTAGAATTCTCGGACTGACCTACTTAATATATATAATAAAGACAACAATGCGGTTACATTGTAATTACTATTTAGCTGATAGTATGTATCGTTTTAATAGTAAAATTAAAATATTTGAATAGGTTATATATGCCTCCTTATTCTTAAAAATAGTAAACTTTATCACAATTTTATGATATTATTTACTAATTATACCACTTTACTAGGCGTTGGGATTTTTGTATTTTTATTATACTAAATAGTAAAATGCAGAATAATTAACCTGTATTATAATATCTTTGATTTAAATTCGTCATTGTAATAATATTTATTCAATTGAAATTGGTTTTAATATATCATAAGATAGTATTCATTAAGTTAAATTAATAAGCAATTAAGACAACAATAGAATTCTCTATTTATTTTCCGAGTGAAACCGGTAGAATAATTGTAATATATTTGCTCATTCTTATCACAGTCGCAGCAGTGGTCTGCCTATCAAGAACATTTTCATGGTCAATATACATACAATCCATTGCAAATTTTTGAGTGACGCTGTAAATGGTATATTGTTTATTTTCTATTTTATAAACATTTAACTTAGTAAAATTCATTCCTAACACTTATTAGTTATTGTAATATGATATGTACGATTTTCAATTTTCTAAATATAATAAGCATAAAAATCATTTGTAAATACGAACACGCAGATTGACAGATTGGACAACTTAAATATGTATGGCATACGCGATGGTATATTTCCCATATCATCTCTGGTATGTATACCAAAACAATAAATGCAAAAATAAGTAAATGAGTAGGTTTCCTACAAGTACAAGTTTAAGTTCAAGTTAAACAATGAC